CCATCTGGAACATAACACTATATGCCAGCCCTTCATGGAAGACCAGATTAAGACACCAATGCCATGTAAATCAGTATTTTTTATTGTGAAACTACATTAATACAATCTTGCAAGTTTGTGTCAGCCCTTCCAGGTAAACCAGAGAGGAGACATGACCAGTTGAGCTAATTCTACTTTATTGTGAAGCTATATTAACAGAATCTTGCAAGTCTGAAAGTACAAATCTCCCACTATTGCTTTTAATGTTCAGATAAATTAGGACAGGCCCCTTTCTAAGTTTCTTACTCTGACCATTAAGCATCTGTAGGTTCCTCTTCTCATCTGATATTATTTAGACACTGTCTCTTCTCAGCATCCTTCAAGGTCATTCCCAAATAGAATTATAGCCTGACTGCCCCTTCATCTTCATGTGAACTCTCTTTTACCTGACCGTTACCTTTGGAATAGCTCTTCCTCCTGTCTTTCAAGGCCATTCCCTCTGCCTTCTCCAGTTTTGTTGTGCATTTTTAACTGTGTAGTAGATTTTTATATTTTTTTTATAATTTTGTGGGAGCTGCAGAGTCTGTTTTTTGTGGGAGCTGCAGAGTCTGTGTATAACAGCAACAGAATGTAATTTTAATTTATATTATAAAGTTTATTTCAATATATAAATGATACATTTATAAATTATTATAAACATTATTTACATAAATAAATAAAAGTTTCATTGGGGTCTGATTGATATATAAATGAAATCGAAATGAATAAATATACCAGTTGTGGATGCTTGTTTATTTCATAAGTGAAAATAATTCAATATCTAAAATGCCAGTGGTAAAAGTAATCACCCACCCTTAGTTTCAGGAATCATCTTTGGCTGTTGGTGATAAATCTCTCATGTTACTCCTCTGTAGCAAAAACCTTTAACTCAGTATCATCTGAGGATTTTCTGGCTTAACTATTTATATAAGTGTAGGTTGGGCCGATTTAGTCATTCAAAAATACTGAATTTATCTTTATCCATTTGTTGTTGAATAAGTGTCCTCTACTGCAGCGGCCCCCAACTTTTTGGGCCCCAGGAACCAGTTCCGTGGAGGGGGTGTGGTTTTGCGTGCTGCCCGCATCCCACAGATGGGGCTTCGCATATTTGTGTGGCCCAGTTTCTGGCCTGCTGCAGACTGGGGGTTGGGGATCCCTGTTCTACTGGGCTGGGGCAAGCTGGTTCTGCTGAGAAGACCAATGCCTCTGGCTGTGGAATAACAGAGTCTTTAGAAAGAAAAAACACTTATTACTTTGTTTCTACTTGGAAACTGCTTCTGGACTTCGTGCTTGAGGTGGAAAAAATGAAATTTTGATTTTGGGTTTTACCGATTAGATAGATTTGTTGTTCTAGAAATGGCCAATTTATACTATTATGTAAAAGTAAAAAGTTGAGGCTTGATGTTATTATTCTACTGCACCACAGGGAGTTAGAAGTCAATGCCTTTTCTTTCTTTTTCCCTTCTTTTCTACATTTTCCCCTTCCCTTTTCCCTGCCCTACTTTTCCTATTATTTTTGTATTTTATATTATAAACTAATAAGAAAAACTCTAAAAAAAGACAAAAATAGTGTTCTAGAATCATGTGTGTCAATTACTTTTTTACAAGGCATGAGAAATTTATTTTGAGTGGGAATGATCCATCTCTAGAATCTGTGTGGTAAGAACATCACTGTAATTAGCTAGGGAATGGCTATAAAAGGAACGTTCCAAATGAAAAGATTATCTTCAAATGTTACTCAGTGTAAATTACAACAAACTGATGTACAGTGCAGTATACAAAATAATGATAGATGATATAGATGTTAGATGAGACAAATAGACAGACAAACATCATTGCTGTTTGTCATTTTCTAAATAAATGCACATCATCTTTAAAACAAAAAAGATAGAAAAATAAATACTAAGAATAATCACCTGGCTATTCACCCAGGCCTTTTGCAAGGCAGAGCAAGACCCCTCACTTTACTGCATTTGTCTTATCTTTATATTTTATAGCAAGGGTGTCAAACTGCCCGCCCGTGGGACGGTTGCATCATGCGGAGGCTGCGCCCACCCCAGTTCCAGCAATGCAAAAAGTTGTGACATGTCATGTCACGTGGCAAATTTGACACCCGTGTTTTATAGGTTTGGTTTTAATTTCTTTGTTTGATTGTTGTAAGATGCCCAGAGCTGTTGAGTAAGGAAGCGTACAAGTTAAATTAATAATGTAAAACAATTTAAATTTAAAACAATTTAATCTTCAAACAGATTCTTGCTGAGAATTTCCCAATAAAATCAGTCACAAAGACTGATTCCTTTCCTCAAGGATTCCCATCTTGATGTCAAAGATAGACTCTCCTGTGGATCTAAAATGTTCCACTACTGAGTGCTGAATGTTGCCATCACAAATTTAAGAAGGACATCATAGGATTGAGATGAAGAGCTGATGAAAACAAAGCTGTGGTGTGGGGCAGTTATTAGGTATTTGATGGATTATATATTACATCAAATACTGGATGTAATATGCTTATGAATGCTAATGACCAGCAATCATGAATGAAGGATATTAATGCATTCAGGTCCTCTTTGTGGTTTACTCATAGGTGCTAGAATAGCTAGCATGGGAACAAAATACTACATTAGAAAGACCTTTGGAAGGATTCAGCTATACAGTTCCCTGTGTTCTTCTGCAAGCACCTGGCCATTCATTAACTGATTCATTAGCTAATTATAAAAAACTGGATTATTTATGATGACAATGATAATTATTGCCCATTCCCTAACCTTTTTTTCAGTTCTTAGAATTGACCAAATAGTTGCCGTCTACAATATTTCTATTACAACAGCCATGTGGACCGTAGAAAAAAAGGCTGGAAAGTATCACTGAATCATATAATGTTAGACTTAGAAGGGATCATTTAGCTCAGGGGTGTCAAACTGCCAGCCCACGGGCCGGATGCATCACACAGAAATTGCATCCACCCCATTGCTGGCAATGGCAAAACAGTCCCGATACGTTGTGTGACCTCACATGACATCGCAAGTTTGACATGTCTGATTTAGCTCAACTCCTTGACCAGAGTAAAAAATAAAGTCCTCTTCTCCTCCTTCAGGAAATGAAGCTTAGGGACTAAATGATTTACTGTGGGTTTTTTTAAAATTGAATATATTTTCAAGAGGGGCCCTTGGTGCTGAGCTTGCTTGTTTCCTTGCAAACTTTTCATTACCCAAACTAGGTAACATCATCAGTGCTAGTAAGGAGTGCTGTTTGCTGTCAGCTTATATTCTAGTGGCTTGCCTGTCAGTGGGGGTGGGGGTGATCTTAGAGATTCTTTGATTGGGCTGTTTGTTGTTGGCTTCTTTGGCAGTTGCTTGATTGGGTCATTGTTTATTTGATTGTTGGTCTGATGTTAACCTTGGAGTTAATTTATCCTGAGCTGGGTGCTGATTGCTGGGGGAGGGGTGCTTGGGTCTTTTTGTTTCCTTTTGGGGGCTGAGTGATAGTCTCATCTGCATAGTCTATAGATGGTATTATTGTCTATGTGTCTATTGATGGCTGATTTGTCAGAGTGCCAGGCTTCTAGAAATTCCCTGGTGTTTTGGGATTTGGCTTGGTCTAGGATTGTCACATTTTCCCAATTGACACGATGGTTAAATCTGTCTATATGTTGTGAAATTAAAGAATTCTCATCGTGTTCTGACTGCTAGTTGGTGTTCGTGGATGCACTCTGCCAGTCTTCTGCCTGTTTGTACTATATAGTGGTTGTTGCAGTCCTTACATTGTTAGGTTGTAGATGTTTTTTCTTCTTCTGGGGTTGTTTGGTCTTTTGGTCTGCTCAGGATGTTTTGAAGGGCTTTAGTTTGCCTGTGTGCTACGCTGATTCCATGTGGTTGTAGCAGTCTGTTGGTGGCTTTGGAGATATTTTTGATGTATGGCAGTGTAATTCTTTTTAGGGTTTGTGTTGGTTGTGCTATACTGGCTTGATTTGTCAGGGACTTATGCTTCTGGTTCACCATTGTGGTTTCTGCTGATCTGGATTTCTAGGAAGGGTAGCAAGTCTTCTTCTCTAAATTTTAAAAAATATCAGACACTTTTATTACGTCTTCCTCAAAAACTAACTTTATTCACAGAATTCCGTTTTACCAAAAAAAAAAAAAAAAATGGAGAGAGAAAAAACCCCTCACTTATATTGAAACCAAGCCAAAAAATGTTTTTCAGTAAAATTCGAAGCACTTCTTTCTCAAAACAAGTTGTTCAGCCTTTAGATCCAGCTGAGATTCCTGCTTTCTCAGAGTCCATGATGATCAGACTGTTCTTAGTCTCTCTCCTCTGGTGCAGCGTGCATCACTTCGCTTGTTTCCAAACACATTGACCTGCCTTTGCTCTTCTGCTCCTTTATTGGCCGGGGCTCTACCCCAAAGCGTGAACCACTTCAGACCGAAGATTCACATTTTAAGAAAGAAAGGCGTGCACATTTTATTTTGTCACAAAAGACGGAGTTGCCTTCCCATGATGGATCTTCCCCTCTTCCATCTGCGAATCCATGTTTTTTCCTCAGAGACCTGGGAGAAAAGGAGGGGGAGAAGGGAAATCCATTTTCAGGCCTGCACAGGGCCTATCTTTTGGGGCTAATGGCGCCGATAGTTTAAGTGGAAAGGGGCTTGAGGGAAGATCCACTCCGCTTGTCTTAGCCTCCTAGACAGGCTGCTGAGGATCTCTGGAAGGGGCCAGGCTCTCCTCCTGCTCCTCCTCACGCGGGAGTAATGGACCTCCATGTTCAAGTGCCTCAGTTCTCTCTCCTCCCCCCCCCCTTTCTCTCGCTTTCCTTCCCCTCCCTCCCAGAAACCAAACGCCTGGCTCTTCCACGCATGCTCCCAGCCTCTGTACTCTCGTCGCCAGCAGCGCCTGGAACGGTAGTGCGGGGCAAGAAGAGCGATCCTGCTGCGCTTGGGGCAGCTCGAGATTCTGGCAAGTAAAACACACATCTCTCCGCTCCGACGGGACGGCGAGTCGACGCCACGCCTGACTGCACCCGGGAGAACAGAAGCTCTCCTCCGGGTCCCGGGCAGGTGCGCGATGGACTTGGAAGCGCCTAGCGCGCTCTGCCCACCGGGGAAGAGGCGGCGGTAGTGGAGGGAACACACGTGCGATTTGTAGCTGAGCTGGCTTTGTTCGGAGACCGGTCCAGCCACCCCTCGGGACGGGGAGGAGGGGAGATCAGGAAATCGCGGATTCTCACTCCTACAGGTTATCTCGAGAAAGTGGCCCGGAATATGCCGTGGGCATCTTCGGTCTGGTCAGGGAATGGGTGGATTTTCTCCGCTGTTGTGTGTTAGAAGTTCCGTGTGTGCGGCTGACAGGAGTGTAATCGTGTTTGTTCAAGCCCCCCTCCCTCTCCCTGTTAAGAGAGTTGGATATGCGCGGCAGCCTGATCGTCTACTTACGGTCATGCGTGTATGTGTGGAGGAAAAGTGGGATTTGCATTGGTTCCGTTGCCCATTGGACGCACTGAGGACGCGTATTGGAAACGCGAGTTATTTTGGGCTAGGGAGCAGATGCGTATTTAGACTTGTGTTTTTAATTCGCCGTGTCCGTGCGTGTGTGTTTCGCCCGCGCCCCACCGCGGGTAAGTATTCGCGTGGGCTGGATACATTACGTTAGGTTTTCTTCCCCATCCGTGTGCGAGACTGCCCTCGTTGGGTGTATACACACATAGGTTGCCGGAGAATATGTTTGTGTACACCCTGCCGATAGGCTGCACAGATCAGACGAGTGCATTTTTGTCACTTCGGTGCTGTGGGTTCCATTCATCGAATTGCCGCCGGGTCGCCCGTTCGGTTTCCGAGGCGACTGATCTCTGCCGACCATTCCAGCACCACCGCCATCGCCACCGCGCCGTGGCTCTTCGCCCTCTTTCCACTGGCCAGTAGTGAATCCTGTTTGCTTTCACGCCGCCCAAGCCGTCGTGAAAAGCCCCTCTCTTCAGCGGCAACAGCTTCGCTCCGAAGCCCCGCTTGCCTTCCCAGGTCCGCACAGGAGTAGCGATTGGTCTGGCTTCCTATCTCTCGGTCTGACCTTCGCTAGGCGGGGATTTGTTTAACTTGCCTATTCGCTTCACTGGATTCTTCTCACTAGCCAGATTTTGCTTTTATGGCTGTCGATTTGGAGCTTTGGGGTTCTTGGGTCAGCCTGTATGTATATGTGCATGTGAGTACACAACGCACGTGAGAGAAGAGAGGTTGCTTATGAAATGTGGGTACGAAATCTGAATGTGAATGTACAGGTTTGAAATCGAAAGGCTACAGTATTAAGCCTTCCATGGTGGGTGCTTTCAGTTCAGAGGGCAGGGTGGTATATTTTATTTCTGGATTTTTATCTTAGAATTCCTTAGAAAAACATCATTAGCTGATTATGATTATTCCCATAGATCAAAGAGAAAAGAACCCATGGTTCTACAAATAATACTGAATTGCCTGATAGGGTGGCCAGTGGTAGTAGTATGGGGGATGCTGGCAATTCTTGAGAAGTACTCTGCTGTAGGTGGAGAATTGAAGCTAGGGTAGCTAAATGGAAAGGCATATGTTTTGTCTGCAAAGAAAGATCAGGTTCAGTCCTCAGAACCTCAGATTAAGGTAAGGAAAACTGCTCTTTGGGATTCTGAAAGTTGCTGCCAATAAGCATTGACCATCCCACCCTAACAGGATGCCCTGCATGTGCGCTGGGAACATGTTGTTGTAAATTGCCCAGAGTCACTTAGGTGTGGTGGGCAGTGTAAAAATGTAATAAATAAGTTTAAGGATTCCAAGCCAGCTTGGCCCACTCAAGACAACATGGCATTAAACCATTACTGTACCTTGCTTTGGGGTAAAGCAACCTCATACAAACCTTCTTCTAGGGCTAGGCTCCTTGAGGATTTCATGCAACAAGTAAAATTTGGAACTAAACTTGTGCAGTAAGTGCTTTTGCTTTTAGTCAATGGGTTTGTCCTCCTGTGAAATGGTTATAGCAGTGTTTCTCAACCTTGACAATTTTAAGGCATGTGGACTTCAACTCCCAGAATTCTACAGCCAGCATTGCTGGCTGTGGAATTCTGGGAGTTGAAGTCCACATGCCTTAAAATTGTCAAGGTTGAGAAACACTGGGTTATAGCTAAATAAACAAGGCATGCTTTAATTGCTGCAGATGTGCCTTTAATTGCTGCAAATATGCCGTTAAGCAAAGCAGCTTTACTGGGACTGGATAAGAATTGACGAGAGACTGGATTAATGGTAGCAAATGACTTTTTTTGTGGTCTGCAGCTGGCTTGCCAAGGGAACCCTCCCAACTGGCATCCTTTCAGAAGGAAACACTTGCACAACATTGCTTGGCTTGAAGTTCCAACCTTCCTCGAAGTCAGGCCTTAATATCAGATGTGTGGCTGTGCCGATTTCTTAGGGAAATGCACAGAGTTTGCAGAGAAACTTTGTTCTTGATTATTAGATTAGATGCAATAAAAGTCAAAGTGGTATGTTTCCTCTTCAGGGTTACAATTGGCATTTTCATTTTACGCTGGAATATTTCCTACCACTACAATTCTGAAGAGTTTCCATTCTCCTTCCACCGGTATCCTGCATTCTGTTCCTATGATTAACATTTAGGTCTCATTTGGAGTTTTCTCCAGTTAGGGGGTGGGTTTTTTTTTTTTTTGAGTTTAGGTTTCTCTTATTATTTTCCTAAAGAACTCCCCCCCCTTATGATTACAGTCTTGGTCAGTCTTGATGTAATGAGAGGTTGAACTCTCAGAACAAATAATAAGGGATGGGATGGGACCCTTCCAGTGTGGACGGATCTATAACTCTCAGCAGCCCTAGCCAGCATGATTAATGGTAAGCAATACTGAGAGTTGTTCAGCAACAACCCAGGACCACAGGGGTGAGAACTTCTTGGGGAGCTGGAATTTTCCCAGGGAAGGAATTCTGAGAACCTTCCATTGACTATAGAAAGAATAAAGCAGGGCTTCTATTAAGCAGTGGGAAGGGTGGAAGGAAAAGACACTGACTTTAAACTCTAGAACAGTGGTTCTCAACCTTTCTCATGCCGTAACCCCATAATACAGTTCCCCATGTTGTGGTGACCCCCAAGTGGGTGTGGCCACCAATAAGAGGGAGTAGGACAGCTAAGGAAAAGGGGGAAAAAATGGCGGACAGCATGGTTTGGTGACCTCCGTGAAATGGTCATTCGACCCCAAATGGGGTCCCAACTCACAGGTTGAGAACCACTGCTCTAGAAGGTAGAAAATGTACTAGCAGGTCAGAAAGCAGTTGAAAGAATTCATTGGCTTTAATCCTAATAAATGTCCAAGATTTGAGCTATGTAACAATTCAGAAGAAAAAAATGTAATTCAGAGCACATGGGGTACTTAAGTCATACTTCCAGCAATTACTTTTTAAAAGATTTTATTTTTTCAGGGACATGTGTGATTGTTGCTATGCAAGCCCAAGAAAAGGCACATTTCATTTATGAAGGTGCCAACAGATGAGACATCCATATGCTCCAAATAATTCTTTTCACTTTGATCCTGATCATGGCATAGCCCTAATAAAGATTGTGGTATCAAATAGATTGGAAGCTTTAAGCTAGTTGAGCCTAACAAATGTGGGAGAGGAGGAGCAGCTGACAACAAATAATGCATAATTTGTTAGAGCCCTTGAATGATATTTCCTTTGATACCCTAATTTAAGACTAGGTAACTTAATACTTTCTAGACCAGTGGTTCTCAACCTGTGGTCGGGACCCCATTTGGGGTCGAACGACCATTTCACCGGGGTCGCCAAACAACGCAGTCCACCATTTTTTCCCCCTTTTCCTTAGCTGTGCTACTCCCTTTTATTCTATTGGCTTTTGAAAGCCAATAGAATAGACTCTCTTGAATAGAATTGTCCAGGCTGTCTCTGCCCTGCTGAGCCTGCCAAAAGTCCCATTCTGCAAACGGTGCTGCATCAATTGAGTAGTCCTCGACTTACGACCGGTTGAGTAGTCCTCAACTTATGACCGGTTGGGGGTCGCGGCATTAAAAAGGTTGAGAACCACTGTTCTAGATGTTGTGAACAACCTCAAGGATTTCTAATCTGTGGCTGAGCCTGACTGGATCTTGTGGAGGTTGCAATTCAAACCATCAAGAGGTTCCAGATTGCAATATCTGCCTCTGGCCTGATTCTAGATATACTGTGGCTTTTGCCTTGGAGTTGATTGGCATAGTCATGGTTCAGTTTTTCTACTGAAGCTAATTGCTAATAGCTGGTGTTAATGTAGCTTTAGTGCAGCTCAACCATGGCTACTGCTGCTCATAGAAGCTGCAGCCTGCTGTTCTCTGTCATTCAATTTGAATGGATAAACGTGCAGAGATAAATGAAAGCTTCTCAGCAGATTACTTAGAATCTAGATCCTAGACCTAGATGGTAGCTTCTGGTCATGAAGGCAGCAACCTGTTTTCTATAAGCATTGAATCATTGTTCATAGTTCTCTGTGTTTGAGCAGCTGAGCATTGAAAGCGTACACTGATGACTGCCCAAAGAATCGTAGACAAATATAAGTAACGTGAAAGGAATTGCATTCTGAGCCATGCATGTGCCAAGGGAGCAACAATTGATTTGCATCTGTTCTCGGCTTGGCACAGAGATATATTTCTGCTTTTTATTTGTATATATTCTTCCCTTAGCTGTCTTCATTTTGTTCTTGTTGTTCTTGTTCTAGGAAAATCTGTCTGTTTATATTTGTAACTGCTTGGAAAACTGGTAAATTATTTAAAACATACTGTGAATACCTTTTAGCTATAGATAAAATCATTCAGGAGGAAACACTTTAGTCTGATTGGCCTGGTTTCATCTACTGCCTATCTCCTATTCTCAAGGGATAGAACAGAAGTGATTTAACAGCCAGATCTGTCTCTGTGCTCTTTAAAATAATAGCTGGAAAGGAAGACACTGGGTGCCCTAAAGGTTTTATTTCATGGATAAAGGGAATCAGTTGTCAGTTTAATTCATAGTTTTCTTTTAGGCACAGTGCTTTCCTTCTGACTGCCTCAGGCAGA